CCTTCACCATCTTCGGTATCGTAACCCTACAGTTGGGGGCTCGTCCGGGATCGAGGCCGACAGCGTGTGTGGGAACGGTGAAGTCGAAAAGAAAGGTCGAGTTACGTTGTAAAGTCGGGCGATTCGGAATCGCAACCAAAAAGTCGTGAGCGGGCTCGAACGTGTCGCACGCGTAACGTTCAGCTAGCCAACAAGTTGTTACAGTCGAAGTTGTGCGGATTTCCATCAAACGTGCGAAACGGTGTGTACCGCGGAAGTCGCTGCGTGCAAGCCAACGTTGAAGTTGCGTGCGTTTGATCGAGTTCGCGATACGGCGGCCATCATAGAACGTGGCACAAGCCGAGCAGTCGTGTAAGAGAGACAGTGGTTTTTGAGACGGTTGTGGACGGAAGACGGTCGCGTACGAAAAGCAGTCGCGCGCGAGAGGCAGCCGTGTGTCGAGTGCATTATCGTACGCAGGACATAATCGTGCAACGTAAAGTGCCGAAATGTTTACGACGCCGCGGACGCCGCCTCCCAAAGAAAAGGCGCCAACGGTCAGCGGAAACGAAGGAGGCGACCGTACGGCGGATACAGAGGGCGCGTCGAACGTCGTGCGAAAGATGGACGGCGTCGGTAATACCGACAGAAGAGCGGGAAAACAAGTAGCCGACCAAGTCGACTCGCAAACACCGCAGATACCGATTGAAAAGATGACGATGTTACAACTCCAAGACGAATTACGTAAGAAAGGCTTATCGATAGCAGGGAAAAAGAAGGTCCTGGCAGATCGTTTGCGAAAAGTAATAAACGACGAGGACGATGGATCGGAGATCGACGCGACGGATGACAGCAGCAACGACGAAGAGGTTAGACAACTGACAGTGGGGCATGGTGCTCAGGATCGAAGACAGCGCCATTCGCAGCCACTGGGGCGTACCACACGTCAGCAGACGAGACGTCATAGCTCGCCGAAGCAAACCGACCGGCGAGTTCGAACACAAGAATTGGAAAGCGACAGTGAAGACGACCCGGAAGAAACGCAAGACGAAACGCGAGTGCAAGCAAATCGTCGGCACGGCGTACCAAACGAACGAGAAATGACACAGGTAAATCACATGAAGGCTGCATTTACTATCAAAGACGTTGAAGGAAGTATCCCTACTTTCACCGGTGACGATAAAATGACCATCCAAAATTGGATTGAGGAGTTCGAAGATACGAGCGTCCTGTTGCAATGGAGCGATTTACAGAAGGTAATTTACGGAAAAAAGATGCTTTGCGGGTCGGCGAAACAATTCATTGCCTTACAGCGAGGGCTGGTGTCGTGGGCAGCTCTCAAAGATTGTCTCACTAAAGAATTCGAAGTGGAGGTTAACAGCGCAACAATCCACTCTCAATTGCAGAAACGTAAGCGTCAAGTCAACGAGACTCCGCGTCAATACGTGTACGCTATGCGAACGATCGCGAATCAAGGCCGTGTAGAAGACGAGGCCCTTATCCAATACATTATTGACGGCATCCCGGATCTCGAAGCGAACAAGCAGATTTTGTACAACTCACGGACGATCGACGAGATAAAGAAGAATCTGGAGCTCTATGACCGCATGCGCGAGAAGTCAAGTCGGAAGAAACCAGCAGGTAAAGCTGACGCAAAGGGCGAATCAAGCAAAGATGGTAAGGACGCGAAGGAAAAGAAGGACGCGAAGCAAACGACAAAGAAGGCTCATTGTTTTGCATGTGGATCACCGGATCATGCGGTTAAGGATTATCCCCACAAAGACAAAGGACCGAAGTGCTTCCGATGCGACCAGTTCGGACACGTATCAAGTAATTGCGAGCAACCAGACAAGACAAGCAAGAAAGACGAAAAAATCAACCGAGTGACTGTTGACGAAGAGACCATCGCGATTCAAGTTAACGGTATAGACACGCTGGCTATACTGGATACAGGCAGTTCCAAAACTATTTTACGGGAAGATAAATACGTGAAGATCGGCAGTCCTGCGCTAAAACCGACGGTGCGCTTATTTAGAGGATTTGGAAACGCGCGAAGCAAGGCGAAAGGCGTCTTTGATGCAGAGTTGATAATTCAAGACGAAGTTTATTGCAACGAAGTATATGTCGTTCCAGTCGAAACAATGGACACGAGGATGCTCATGGGGAAAGACCTACTCAAACAGATGGATATCCGTATTCTCGGTGGACAGACAACATTCCGGAAGATAACGGCAATTGACGATGGAACACCCGCGCACGAGGTCAAGGGCGAAGAGAGTGTGCCGGGTAACCGACCCAAAGACGAAGATGGCGATGAGGTCAGTGCAGAATGGGAGCGATGTGGTTTGTCTACAATCAACTACGTCGAGCCCGATGAAGTCAGTGTTCGAGGACCTTATGCAGAAGAGATCAGGAAGCTGATAGACGATTACAAGCTGATCAAGCAGGTGCAGCCTAAAGTCGAGATGAAGATTGTGCTGAAAGATCAAGAACCCGTTCGTGCCAAACCACGGCGACTGTCAGTGCAAGAAAGACAGATCCTACAGAAGCAAGTCGATGAATGGTTGAGAGACGGAATCATTAAGCCCAGTAGAAGCCCGTATTCGAGTGCCGTGACACTCGTGAAGAAAAAAGACGGAACTTATCGCGTCTGTATTAATTATCGTCCAATCAACAAGAAGATTATTCGAGGCCAGTTTCCAACACCGTTGATTTAAGACTGTATCGATGAGTTGGCCTCAGCCCGAGTTTTCTCGGTGATCGACCTGAAGAATGGCTTCTTCCACGTCCCAGTTGCGGAGGACAGTCAACAGTATACGTCCTTTGTGACGCCTGACGGACAGTATGATTTCCTGTTTTCCCCGTTCGGTCTGTGTAACAGTCCGACCGAATTTTTGATATTCATGGAGGAAGTTTTCTATGAACTCATCAGGCGACGCATTCTCCGCAGGTATTTAGATGACGTCGTCATACCGGGTAGAAATGAAGAAGAAGCAATGTACGGACTTCGCGAAACCCTGAGAGTCGCAGCTGAAAATGGGTTGGTGATCAACTGGAAGAAATGCAAGTTCCTGGAACGAGAGGTGGAGTTTCTTGGACATATTGTCAGAGGTGGCTGTGTTCGTCCCTCCAACAAAAAGATCAAAGCGGTGCAGAAGTTTCCGAGGCCCAAGTGTCGAAAGGATCTCCAAAGTTTCCTTGGTTTAACAGGCTATTTTCGCAAGTTTGTTTTAGATTACGCAATTATCGCTCGACCATTATCTGATCTCCTGAAGGACAATAAGGGATTCGGTTTCGGAGTGGCACAAGAGGAGGCGTTTGACAGGTTGAAGGCGATATTGTCGAAGGAGCCCGTGCTGCGAATCTACAAGCCGGACGCAATCACGAAACTCCATACGGACGCCAGCAAGCTGGGTTACGGGGCAATTCTGCTGCAGAAGGACTCAGTAGACGACAGCTTCCATCCAGTCTACTATATGAGCCGCAAGACGTCGGATGCCGAGCAGAAGCTTCACTCGTATGAATTGGAAGTGCTCGCCATCGTCAACGCGTTGAAGAAATTCCGAGTCTACCTACAGGGTATTAAATTCAGGATCGTAACGGACTGTGATGCATTCCGGAAGACATTGGACAAGCGTGACCTGCCAGCCAAGGTCGCGAGATGGGCGTTGTTCATGGAAGAATTCCAGTACGAGGTAGAACATCGAGCAGGATCACACGACATGTAGACGCCCTCAGTCGCTATCCCGTCCTAATAGTGGACGACACGGTTACGCAGATGATACAGAAACGACAGGACGAAGATGAGAGACTACGAGCGTTAAAACGGATACTGGAGACGGAGCCGTACGAAGATTACATAGTCGAGAACGGTTTATTAATGAAAAGAATCGATAACAAGGTTGTCATAGCGCTTCCTAGTAGTATGCACATGGACATCATTCGCAGAGCCCATGAAAACGGACACTTCGGTGTGAAGAAGATGTCTGAAAGCATCAAGGAGGACTTCTACATCCCTAAGTTGAAAGAGAAGCTTGAGAGGTTCGTCAGTTGTTGCATACCATGCATTCTGGCGGACAGAAAGAAGGGAAAGATGGAAGGAGAGCTCATGCCTATCCCGAAAGGTGGTACACCATTGTCAACGTATCACATCGATCATCTTGGCCCGATGACATCAACGTCGAAGCTGTACAAACACTTGTTCGTAGTTATCGATGGCTTCTCGAAGTTCGTGTGGTTATACCCCACCAAAACAACAAATGCGAAAGAGGTAGTTGCCAAGTTGACGACGCAGCAAATGACGTTCGGCAGCCCACAACGGATCATCAGCGATCGAGGCACGGCATTCACATCAAGCGAATTTACAGACTACTGCACGTCAGAGAATATAGAGCACATCAGAATCACCACTGGAGTACCTAGAGGGAATGGCCAAGTCGAGAGAGTCAACAGAATCATTATACCAATACTAACGAAGCTGGCTTTGGATCATCCCGACAGATGGTATCGCTATGTGGACCAAGTTCAAAGTTGCCTAAACAGCACATATCAACGGAGTATTGGAATGACGCCATTTGAACTGATGTTTGGCGTAAAGATGCGGCGGAAGGAAGATCCACGAATTCTGGAGCTGATCGAGCAAGAATCGGCCGAATTGTTCGAGAATAATCGAGAGGACCTACGTAGTTTAGCTAAGGCAAATTTGTATAAGATACAAGAAGAGAATCGACGTACGTTCAACCGAAACCGCAAGGCCGCTATATTGTACAAGACGGGCGACATCGTGGCCATCAAACGGACACAGTTTGGACCCGGACTGAAAATTAAAAGGAAGTTTCTCGGTCCATACAAAGTATCGCAGGTAAACGGCAATCATCGTTATGAGGTGATTCGAGTCGGAGAAGGAGAAGGTCCGAAAATAACTACTACGGCAGCGGACTACATGAAGCCATACCTGTACCAGGGAGATGAATCTTCGGGGACCGAAGATTAGCAGAATGGCCGAGTGTAGGAGTGGGCCCCTAGTTTGGTGGCGTTAACGGCAGAGGACCCGCGCGCGAGGCGCTTGCGCGAGGACAGTAGTGTAGGTCAGGGAGCGCACGAAGAAGGGTGTGTAGTCGACCGCGCTCAGAGAAGGACT